TGAACTGGATCGAGTAGACATGGATCTGGTCCTCGGGTGATCGGTTCAAGAATATTTCCCCCTGGACCATTATGCCCTTCTCGCAATTAACATATTAAATTTAATCAATTAAAATTCCCCGCAAGATCTGACGGCTAATAAAAATCAGACGTGATCAGACATGTAAGTACTGCTAAGTACTTCGAGTACTAACCCAATCACCGTAAAACAGCTCATGTTTAAATCGTTGCCAAAATCAGTCCTAGTACTAAATACTACTCCCTCCGTCCCATAATATCATATCGTTTTTCAAGCTAACATCCATCCCTCCCTCATTGTCGGACGGAGGGAGTACTAATGTTCTGTGATGATTATTTTTAAAAAAAAAATTGGATGGTTGCTAAAGCGTTGACATGCTTGCATCTATCGTTGTTGTTGATGGCTTTGACGTTCGTCTCGGTGGAGCAGACTTTTCTGAACCCATGAGCTTGTAGAAGTTGCCTGGATGAAAAGATCACAGGATCCTAATATTGCGGAGAGGCGACCCCCCCCCCCCCGCGCGCGCCCCGCTACTTCTTGAGCTTGTGTTGGTTTTTCTCTTAAAGAGGAAAGGGCGATGCAGCAAAGTAGAGTAACTATTTCCCTCAATTTTGAGAACTAATGTATCAATCCAGTAGGAGACAACACGCAAGTTACCGAATACCTGCACAAACACCAACTTGCACCCAACGCGATAAGGGGTTGTCAATTCCTTCACGGTTATTTGCAAAGTGAGATCTGATAGAGATGAATAAACGGTAAAGTAATATTTTTGGTATTTTTGTTTATGAAACGGAAAGTAAAAGATTGCAAAGAAAATAAATAGGAAACTAAAATTGTAGATCGGAAACTTATATGATGGAAAATGGACCCGGGGGCCATATGTTTCACTAGAGGCTTCTCTCAAGATAGAAAATATTACGGTGGGTGAACAAATTACTGCTGATCAATTGATAGAAAAGCGCATAATTATGACGATATCTAAGGCAATGATCATGAATATAGGCATCATGTCCGTATCAAGTAGACCGACTCCTGCTTGCATCTACTACTATTACTCCACACATCGACCGACTCCTGCCTGCATCTAGAGTATTAAGTTCATAAAACAGAGTAACGCATTAAGTAAGATGACATGATGTAGCGGGATAAACTCAAGCAATATGATGAAAACCCCATCTTGTTATCCTCGATGGCAACAATACAATACGTGTCAGTTCTCCTTCTGTCACTGGGATCGAGCACCGCAAGATTGAACCCAAAGCTAAGCACTTCTCCCATTGCAAGAAAAACCAATCTAGTTGGCCAAACCAAATTGATAGTTCGAATAGACTTGCAAAGATATCAAATCATGCATATAAGAATTTAAAGAAGATTCAAATAATATTCATAGATAAGTTGATCATAAATCCACAATTCATCGGATCTCGACAAACACACCGCAAAAGAGTATTACATCGGATAGATCTCCAAGAACATCGAGGAGAACATGATATTGAGAATCAAAGAGAGAGAAGAAGCCATCTAGCTACTAGCTATGGACCCGTAGGTCTGAGGTAAACTACTCACGCTTCATCGGAGAGGCAATGGTGTTGATGTAGAAGCCCTCCGTGATCGAATCCCCCTCTTGCAGCCTTGCAGGACGCCAGAAAAGGCCCCTAGATGGGATCTCACAGGTACAGAAGGTTGCGGCGATGAAAAAGTGTTTTCGTGGCTTTCCTAGTTGGTTTGGGAATATTTGAGAATATATAGGCGGAAGAAATAGGTCGGTGGAGTCACGAGGGGCCCACAAGGGGGGGCTACCCCCATGGGCACCCTCCATCCTTGTGGGTGCCTCCTGGCTTCCCTGACGTGTACTCCAAGTCCTCTGGATGTCTTCTGGTCCAAGAAAAATCATCGCGAAAAGTTTCATTCTATTCCGTTTGGTATTCCTTTTTTGCGAAACTCTAAAACAAGGAAACAACAGGAACTGGCACTAGGCACTAGGTTAATAGGTTAGTCTCAAAAATAATATAAAATAGCATAATAATGCATATAAAACATTCAAAACAGATAATATAATAGCATGGAACAATCAAAAATTACAGATACGTTGGAGACGTATCACCCCCCTCCTAGATGGGATATGCAGCGCGTCAGCCGATGGGTTGGCTTCTCCCTTCCCCTAGAGGGTCTTGCCTACCCCTTTGACTGTTGGGGCTGATTGGGGAGTGGGGGCTAGGAAGGTGAAGCGGGAAGATCAGACGTTGATGTGGGTGGCCGCGATGGAGCGAGCTGACCCGAGTTTATGTGCTCAGCGGCGACGAAAAGGTGGCGACCTTCCTCGCGAAGGAGACGACAACTACGTTGGCTACCGCAACAACGAACACAAGAGTAGAGAGGGAGCTGCTGCAGGAGTGGTATGCATCTACGTGGCGTTGGCGGCTGTGACGACGGCTGCCAAGTCCGCGGGGATGTGTTGTAAGTGGGCCTTCTCATCCCAAGCAGAGGTGTCGCCCTCATCGTCCTCGAGCACCTTCCTCCTACCTCACTGCCCTCCTTGTGCACATGGAGGATGACAGGTTCTGGAGGGTCGGCTTCCACGTTCGTGATGCAAGTCGTAGCGACGGGTGGGCTATGTTGGTGAGGCATCGCCTATCACATGGAGATGCAGCGGTAGCATTGCACGAGGCCCATGCTGAGGTGGAGCACGGCGTGCGGTGGCAAGGATTCCTTTGCTCTAGGGCAAGGGCCCTGGGCTGAAGGACCAATGGCAAGGTGGTGCCGAGCTCTCGTGGTGTACAGTGGCGAGATCACCTTCGCGCGAGGCGGCTGCCTTGGGCGGAAGGATGCCAGCACGTGGTGTTTGGTGGCTGGTTGGACGACGACGACTGTTGTGGCAGCAGAGGTCCTGCGTCGGACAAAGTTGTCGTTTGGCGGTGGCGCGGATTCGTCGGCTAGATCCGAACCGTGGCATGGCCAGCCTCCTGAGGGCCATGGTGATGGTCTATGGTGGTCATTCATCCCACCCATTTGCTAGAGCCACCTTGGTCTAGCATGGAGAACTGTCAAACTTGACTGTCGGGAGATAGGCGGACTAAGGCATAGCCTAGTGGTGGAAAGGGGCTAATGCCTTTTCACCCACCCAGGTTCAAGGCACGGTACTTGTAATTTGATTTGTTGGATCAATTATACTGTAGGGGCCTGCCTTACAGTCTCTCTGTTAAAAAAAGATGGTGCTTGGAACACACTTTGTTCTACCCTTGCTAGTCGGGCACAACAATGGCGAGCTTGCGTTGTTATCTTGTTCAAGACGTTGTTTGCATGATGACCACGACGTTAGGGCATTTATCCCTTCTTGAAGGTGTTGCTGCAAAAGAAGTCAAGATAGGCGTAGGTGTTACATTCATATCTTGTAATGTTTCGGCCATAGTTGTTTTTGTTATGTACTTCACTTGTTGATGACTTTGGAGTTGTTGTTTTGCATCAATTTTAATAAAGATGGATGTGTGCATCATAATGATGCAGAGACCAAGGGTTCCAACCTCCTTTTTAAAGAAAAAAATAAGCTTGAAGCAGCGATCGAAAAGTTATTGATGTAGACCAAGAGACGCCGATGAATGTGATCTACGAAGCAAATTGCTACCCTGAGGAAGAAAACCTTATAAGGTCATGTACAAACTCTGAAGCCCAATAAAGCCAATCGAATATAGAAGTGTCCATCGAAAACCTAAATTAACCGGATCTCGAAAGACCTGCGCCGCTGCAACCAGATACATATATGATGTCAAGCACACCGCCGTCTGGACCATACACCGACACCTCTCTTCTCTGGTGACCTATACAGGCCAGGCCGTTATTGAAGATCGCAACGATGTACCCCTCTAGCGCCTTCGCCGAGCCTGCTTGACGATGACCGCTACTCGAGCTATCATCTCCTTCGCCATCCACGCTAGCCCTGCAACACCTCCTCGGAAGGCCACCCCCAATAGGTACCTTCCCGCCACCATCGGTGTCGCGCGGGCTTTGCCGACGACGCACACTGGCGGCGGTAAGATGGGTTAGCGACGGGCAGTGGCTAGGGTCCGGTCGACTGCCTCGACCCTGTCAGGCACACCAAGGTTTATGTGTGTTATGTTATCGTCGTCGAATATGTTACCTTGGCATTGTGTTCAAGCGAGAGCATTCACACCATGATCAATACAAGGTTGTTTAAACCCTTCCACATTTGCTTACGCAGGCGTCAACAAGCGGCGGGCTACCAATGGCAAGTCAAACATCCAGAGAGATGCATTTGAAAGAGTTTTTTTTTAAATATGGACCTTGAGCCATTATCTACATCTATACTATCTTTTCGTGAGAAGAAAAACATTGTAAAACTTTTACATATTGATCCAAAAAGAGAAAAAAAGATCACCACTGCCAGCAAACGATCTGAACCGTCAAAAATCCATCCCCTTAGAGCAAGATTTTTCCTCTCCGCCTCCTCCCCTATCCCTTCCTCGCCCGCGCAGCCACCCTGCCTTCCTGCCTGACCTACCCAAACCCCAACCAGCCCGGCTCCAAAATCTCACCCACAGTCCAGCAGCATCGCTGTGACCTGGAGGCTGGAGCCGCCGCCGTCCGGTAGCTTTGTTTCGCCACCGACGCCTCAACCCCTCCCCCGCAACAGCCCCAGAACCCTCCCGCGTCGCCGCCATCGCCGTCCCCTTTCTGCCTCCACCCCGTTCTCAATCCCGCGCATTTGTTTCCAAGGTATGAGCTTTTGGTCATCCGTTGATTACTTGTTCTCAAACTAATTTCCCCCAATTTTCTTGTGTGCACACCGGCGCGTCGTCTAGATCCGCCCCTGGTTTTGTGACTCACCTGACCCAGTTGCCTGATTATTTCGCACAGCCACAAGCGAACCCTGCCCTGAACTTGCTGAGATATAAAGTGTTTGAAACATAACTACAGTTATCGAGCTGAGGTGCTGTGTTTGACATTGTTCAGTAATAGCATAAATGAGGCTAATTATCGGGCAAGTTCATCGGAATGTTCTTGCGCTGGCGTCATCTCGGTCATGCTTTGTCATTGGTGACCATCTCCCGTTCAGAATGCTGTCGATGCCACGGGCATCAGGGTTCCATCAGACTGCTTGGCGGGGTAGTCAAACTGTCAAGGACAGCGGCAGCACACTAACTCTGGCTAGCCTGGAAGTCCAAAGCAAAGCTGATTATGTGAAGAAGGAAAGGGTGCCACAAAGCAAAGCTGATTATGTGAAGAAGGAAAGGGAGCCACAAAGCAAAGCTGATTATGTGAAGAAGGAAAGGGGGCCACGAACTGGAGAGCCGAAGCCAAGCTCAAGAGATTCTGGTTTCAGTGTGAAACCAAAGAAGGTTTCTTCGCTTAGTCTGAAGCCAGCGAAGAGTGCATTACCAAAGCCACCAGTGGTGAAGAAGAAGCTGAAGATCGACGAGGCTTTATTTTCTGCAAGCTCATTTGAAGAGCTCGGTCTGCCGCCTTTGCTCATTGACCGGCTGAACAAGGAAGGCCTGACCTCTCCAACTGAGGTCCAGTCCGCTTCTATTCCTGTCATATCTCAAAGGCATGATGCGGTTATCCAATCATATACAGGGTCGGGGAAAACACTCGCGTACCTTCTCCCTATTCTTTCTGAAATAGGCCCCCTGAAGAGGGCTAGAGAACAGGGTAATTCTGAAAAGAGATCAGGTATAGAAGCTGTTGTCGTTGCTCCTTCAAGAGAACTAGGAATGCAGATAGTGCGAGAAGTGGAGAAGATACTGGGTCCTGATGATAAGAGACTTGTCCAGCAGCTTGTTGGCGGTGCTAACCGTTCGAGGCAAGAGGAAGCACTGAAGAAGAACAAGCCTATTATAGTTGTTGGAACACCTGGCCGTATTTCGGAAATTTCAGCGGCGGGCAAGCTACAAACTCACAACTGCCGTTTTCTTGTACTGGATGAAGTTGACCAGCTCTTATCATTTAATTACCGCGAGGATATGCATAGGATACTGGAGCATGTTGGAAGGAAACCTAGCACTTCATCTTCTAGTCACATCCTTGGCCCACTTGCTAGGCGGTCTGAACGTCAGACAATCTTGGTTTCAGCAACAGTGCCGTTTTCAGTTATACGCGCAGCCAGGAGTTGGGGCCATGATCCAGTTCTTGTTAGGGCTAAGAGTGTAGTCCCGCTTGACTCGATCACTGTTCCAAGGCCCATGCTGTCCCAGGGTGACCCTAACTCTGATTCTCCAACAATGTCAGTGAATCAAGCTGCAGTTGACAGCTTACCACCATCCTTGGAGCATTACTACTGTACAACCAAGGCTCATCACAAAGTTGACACCTTAAGGAGATGCATCCATGCCCTGGAAGCAGAGACGGTGATTGCATTTATGAACAACACCAAGCCACTGAAGGATGTTGTGTTCAAGTTGGAGGCCCGTGGGATGAAAGCTATCGAGCTACATGGAGATCTTGGGAAGCTTGCAAGGTCAACAGTCCTGAAAAAGTTCAAGGCCGGTGAATTCAGGGTTTTGGTCACAAACGAGCTGTCTGCCAGAGGACTGGACATACCAGAGTGCGACCTTGTGATCAACCTGGATCTTCCCACAGACTCTACACACTACGCCCACAGAGCTGGACGGACTGGACGTCTTGGGCGGAAAGGGACCGTTGTCTCAATATGTGAAGAAAGCGAGGCATTTATCATGAGGAAAATGCGCAAGCAGTTGGGTGTGGCCATCAAACCATGCGAATTCACTGAAGGCCAGATTACCGTTCATAAAGAGGAAGACGTGGAATAAAATTCTGCGATGTTCAACTATCATTTTAGTTTGTCTTAAGTTGTACTGCTTTTCCTTGGCATTTAGTCCGACTGTATTTTCTTAAAATGTTGGCACTTAATACTTTTGCTCAGCGGAGACTAGATACATTGGAAAATACTGTCCTTTTTTGCTGGCGGCATTTAGCAGGAGTGCAGGCATTGAAATCTGAAAATTACCAGTCTTTCCTGGTGACGTTTAGCTGTTTACTTTTCAATATATGGTTGATGTTCAGCTGGATTATATGTTTTGGTGCCCCTCTTATTGAGCGGCACTGCAATTTGTGAGATGACTCCTATAATGCTGTGACCTTATGATGTGTATATTTGAAATTGCGCGTGCGAGATATGCGAAAAGGCTTGCAAATTCCTGCTCATTTTCGTTTGTTTGGACATAAGTAAAGCTGGATGCCATCCATTTCGCGAATAGCCCTTATAGCTCAGTGGTAGAGCGTCAGTCTTGTAAACTGAAGGTCCGTAGTTCGATCCTGCGTGAGGGCAATTTTTTCAGTGCACATGTTTTTGATCTTCTCAGCAACACAATCCTTCAATCCATTTTGCCCTGATGCGTGCCAATGCCGTAGGGCTTTTGCACGCTCAATCCAAATGCGACACAAATCCAGTTTCTTTTTACATATGCAGTGGAACTTGCTCAGCAGTTCCTTTGGACATTCAGGAAAAGACGGAAGAAAAAAGGGCTTTTGAAGAGCAGAGGCGGCAAATTTGCCAGCAATCTGCATCGCTGCTCATGGTATGTTTCTCCAGCAAGTAGCAACCAAAAGCACTGTGTGTTGGTGTTGCAGCCTTGGCAAAGCCTGGGGACATACCCTCCTGAACCGATAACGTTGTGGCAGAGAGAGGGGGCCAAAGAGGGATTGCCAACTGGGATTTTTCAGAGCTTGAGAGTTCGAGTTCCTCCAGAGTTTTGATTATGCTTAAGCCTTTAAGCCATCAAACACAGAAAATGCGTACTGGACGACAGACAATTCATGATGGCTGAATAGGCTCAGCTGCACTTTGCTAATTGTGCTTCGATTATATTTGCTTTGCAGTCAGAATACACTTTCGGAAATAGAATAATCATTTAGTCTCACTTTCATGGTTGATGAAACTTATTGTACTTCCTTCCGTTTCAAAATATTTGATTTCCATATGTTTAAAAATGGATGTACCAATATACTAAAACATGTCTAGATACATCTATATTTTGACAAATCGAAGGCATGTATTATGGAACGGAGGGAGTACATCTTATATACACGAGCAAAGTTTTCGCCTGTATCCAAAAAAAGTGCTGATCCCCGTTTTTCACCAACACAAAGGCTTCACCTTGTGAATCCCCATTTTTTATAATTATCCCCAATTTTTATAATTATCAAATGCTTCCAAAAGTGTCACAATACAATGGTATCGAAAATCTCATCTGACCAGCATGGTGGCTAAAGGAAGAGAAATTTGTATTCGATAAATTTCCGTAAGTTCATGGCCGCAGGCAATCATGCACATAGAGAAATTCACACTTGAACCAAGGCAACAATGTCTTTATCATGAAGAAATATGCATGCCATAACATTGTTTAACCATCCGATTCATGGCTACATGCTGCTGCTGCAATCAACTTATTCTGGAACAAACATTAATCGAGTTGTAAGAAATTACATTCATGATCCCGACTCTGTTGGAGTTTTCGCAACAATGGAGATAGCATGAAGACCCGAGTTCAACTCATCGGTCAAGAGATCATACACCATCCTATGACGCTTCACAAGGCTCTGCCCTTCAAACTTCGGCGAAATTACCTTGATGTTAAAATGCGTCTCATTTGCATTGTCCTTGACAGCCGCATGCCCAGCATGTTGGTAAGAAACATCTTCGATGTCTAGTGCACTCGCCTCCAAAGAAGACTGCAGCTTTTGCCTCATCCGTGCAGCTCTCGAGAGCACAGCACTGGTACCTCGTGAACCCATCATTTTTCAGCCTGATTCAAGAGCAACTGCCTAAAAGAAGAACATATTGGTTATGCAAAGTAATCACCACTACAAGTGTAATAGCATGTTACCTGATTCATATACATAAGCAATGGATTGACATGAACCAACAGTCCCCACTCCAAGGCCAGAGTTGTATAACACAAACAAGAAAAATGCCTTGGCCTAAACTAATCTCAAATGTTCATTCCCCAAAGTCATAAAAAAAACACTATCATGTAGCACATATCTGTTCTTGTAACACCGGCTGGTCCCAGTGTCCATTTGTAGATTCTAATTTCTTGGACAACTAATATGAATTCAAGAGACAGAAAATAGTGTATCTTTCCTTGATTGACAAAATTACCATCCAATTGGAATCGATCGAAAACAGCCTAACAGCACCACTGATGCTAACTTTTAGAATTTCAAACCGTGTTTCCTTCTATGTCGTGAATTGTAAGCCCCAGATATACATAAATCAAAACCTAGACGATGCAATCGGAGACAAAATCAAAACCTAGATGATGCAATCCGACACAAAATCTGTTACCTAGATGGTGAAATTGGACCGTCCTTACATGGATGGATCACACGAGGCGCAGATTGAGGCGGAAAATACTAGCAAGGAATCAAATATCGCACTCCTGTTAGTGAAATTAGTAGGCACGCGGAGTATTTTCGAAGCGGATCTGACGAGAAGCTTGCGGCGAAAACGAAAAGGTTCTAGGGTTGCTATGGTCGAGTCCTATATCTAGGTAATGGAGATAATAAGATTAACTGGCGGTACAAAATCTTCGTGGGAGCGCGCTGGAGCAGTACGCAGTAATAAGCAAAGAAAAGAAAAGGCAGAACTTACGTCGTTGCTGGAGGTTGTGGCGTCGTGTGTTGCGGTCGGAGGTGGAGAAGGAAGACGGCGGCTTAGGGGTGGGGAAGAGGAAAGCAGAGGAACAATTAGAAAAAAAGCCCAAGTATATACCTGGAATTTTCGTATGGGAGAAAAAAAAAAGATGTATGCGGTGAGCGTGGATCGAACACGCGACCTTCAGATCTTCAGTCTGACGCTCTCCCAACTGAGCTATCCCCGCTTCGTGATTGCAGACAAACTTCAGACTATATGTCGTCACATAGATTTTATTTAGTTCCAGCTGAGTTTTTTTTTTGCGGGGTTCCAGCTGAGAATCTGCATCATGTTTCACTTTGCCGCAAATGCTCTTCATGTCAGTTATACTAGACAGATAAAACATTGCGATTCGAGCAAATCCAACATACATCCTTCTACTGGGTCTATAAATTTGACTGAGAGTGGCAATTCACACCGCACGAAAACCGTCAACGATATTTGGACACGGCTTTTCAGGGGAGAAAAAAAGAGCCTAGTCCCGTCCGCCCCGCCGAGCACGCTCAGCTCGGTTTCACGTGTGGCGCACGGCAGGGCTAGTCGACCGTGACCGAGCTGACGGCCTATCTCCCCAGCTTATCCACTGGCGCAGGCGCAGGCGACGCGCAGCACGGAGAACCAAAAGGTACGGGGCGACCGAGACCGCTAGCGACGAGGCTTCCCGGCGACCCGCGTGCAGCCGTGCACCACCGACGGAAGGATAGTACGGAGAGTTCACCGGAGAACTGGCCATGTTTTGACCACACGGCGGGCGGGCGAGCGGCGAACGGGTGCAGGGACGACAGTGCGCGCAGGTCGGCACATGCGCGTGGTAGTACCGCCCCCAATGGCAAAGGAGGAATATGCAGAGAGGGAGAGGGCGGGCGCAGCTGGCGGCCACCAACCAGCTCCTGTGACACGGCGAGAGGACGGACGGACGGGCATGCATGGCACGCCAGTCTGCACCAGCGTCTGCATCCGATCAGCGAGCTGCGAGCGCTCGCGTGTTGTGCCTGCCAACAGCGGTTTGCCTGGCGCTCTGACGGGTCTCGGTCACCCCGGTCGGTCTGCGCCTGTGTCGCTTTTTACTGTAGCTTGCAGGAGGCTTTGCTTGCATGCAGATGCATGTTTCTGCGTCGCCCAGCCGAGGACCAGACGTGTCGCGGGCTTGTGCTCGCGTACGTACTGCACTGGCTTTGCACTTGCAGGTTTCACGCAAGATTGAGGCTGTTTGATTTGTGATTAACTTAGCCAAAGTTTACCACAACTAAAATTAGGCAATTTAAACCAATTTAGGTGAGTGTTTGGTTTAAGCCACATCTTAGGCAACATACACTTGGGTCCCACATGACATACACATGTTAGACTGTATTTACATGTGTATATTGTAACGTTGTATACCACCTCATTATATATATATATATATATGTGATAGGCCACCCCTAGAGGATTGTGCCGGTTCCCCCCCAAAGCCTATTGTCTTACATGGTATCACGCTAGGTTACGTCCGCTTCCGCCTAAAAACCCTAAACCGCCGCCGCCGCCGCCGCGCCCGCCGTCGCCGTCGCCCGACTGCTATGACGTCCGCCGCTGCGTCCGGCTCCACCGCCACCGGTTTTCTGCCGGCCTCCCTCGCGGCACTTCTCTCGAGGCCGCTGGATGCCGCCTCCCTTCAGGCGCCGATCGGGACACGGAGCGTCGGCTCCCTCTTCGCGCTCCCGCCGGCTGCTACTTCGCCCGGGCAGGCGCTTGTGGCCCACACCGCCGCCGCCCCGTCAACCGCGGCTGTCGCGCCCTCGGCCACTGCGCCGCTGGTGGCGGAGGACGTCGCGCTGGCAGGCTTCGCGGCGTCAACCGCGGCCATCGCGCCCTCTGTCACCGCGCCGGCTGCCCCTCTGACTGTCTCCACGGTGGTCTCACCTCAGCCAGTCTCCTCGATGGGATCGCAGCCGCCGCCGCCGTTTCACTTCGGCCATCTCATCACCATCAAGTTGTCGTCGGACAATTACATCTTCTGGCGCGCGCAGGTTCTTCCGCTTCTTGGGAGTCACTATCTGCTTGGCTATGTCGACGGCTCTCTCCCTTGCCCTCCTGCGCTGGTTGACAGCGTGCACGGTCCGGTCTATAATCCGGCTCACAGTGTCTGGACAGGGCAGGATCAGGCGAACCTCTCCTCCATCCAGGGGACGCTCTCTCCGGCCGTTGCTGGGCTTGTTGTCTTCGCCAAGACGTCCCACGAGGCATGGACTATTCTTGAGCGCTCGTTTGCGGCACAGTCGCAGGCTCGTGTATCTGGGCTCCGTCGCCAACTTGGGGAGTGTCAGAAGCTTGACTCCACCGCCACTGAGTTCTACAACAAAGTCAAGAGTCTCGCCGACACGCTGGCCTCCATTGGACAGCCCCTCACCGACTCCGAGTTCAACTCGTTTATTGTCAATGGTCTTGATGAGGAGTATGACGCCCTAGTCGAGATCATCAATGAGAGGGGCAACTCCACGCCCATGCCAGCACACGAGGTCTTTTCACGCCTCCTGCTTACTGAGCAACGAGTCGAGACGCGCCGATCCAGGGGCAACGGCGCCCTCTCGGCACACGCCGCCACCAAGGGTGGTCGCTCCTCTGCTTCATCCAGGGCTCCTTCGGGGCAGTCACCACCACCCGCCTCGGCCCCTCCTCCTACTGCGACGCTACCAGGGGCTGGCGGTCCACGTGTGTGCCAGCTTTGTGGTCGCGATGGGCACTGGGCCTCGAAGTGTCACAAGCGCTTCCAGCGGGGTTTTCTTGGTCTCGGCAATGACGGGAAGGATACACGCAACTTTGCTCGTCAGGTCGCCATGGCTGATCGTCCGCCGCCGTAGAAGCCACAGGGACACACTCAGTCCTACTCCATTGATCCCCACTGGTACATGGACTCTGGGGCGACAGAGCACCTGACCAGTGAGATGGGGAAGCTTCACACTCGTGAACCCTACCATGGCTCCGACAAGATCCACACCGCCAATGGAGCAGGTATGCACATCTCTCATATTGGTCAAGCATCACTTCTCACTAGACATGCCAATAGGAGTCTTCAACTTCGCAATGTTCTTCGAGTTCCATCTGTGACACGTAATCTTCTTTCAGTTCCTAAACTCACTCGTGATAATAATGTGCTTTGTGAATTTCATCCTTTTGATCTTTTTATTAAGGATCGGGGCACGAGGGACATTCTTCTTAGTGGGCGGCTCTGCCAAGGTCTCTATCGTCTGGAGCATCCTGGCGTCGCTCGCGTCTTCAGTGGAGTTAGGGTATCTCCGTCACAGTGGCATGCTCGTCTTGGTCACCCGGCCACACCTATTGCCCGGCATGTTTTGCGTCGTCATGAGCTTCCTAGTGTGTCTAGTAATAAAGATGTAGCAGTGTGTGATGCTTGTCAGCAGGGGAAGAGTCATCAACTTCCTTTTTCGGAGTCCAGTCGTAAGGTGAAACATCCTTTAGAACTTGTGTTTTCAGATGTATGGGGTCCTGCTCAGACTTCTGTTAGTGGTCATAATTACTATATCAGTTTTGTTGATGCTTACAGCCGCTTTACCTGGCTTTATCTTATCAAACGTAAATCTGATGTGTTTGACATTTTTGTTCAGTTCCAAAAACATGTTGAACGCCTTCTCAAGCACAAAATTGTTCATGTTCAGTCGGACTGGGGTGGCGAGTATCGCAACCTCAACTCCTTCTTTCAGTCGCTTGGGATCACTCACCGTTTAGTATGTCCACATACACATCAGCAGAATGGTTCAGTAGAACGTAAGCATCGTCACATTGTTGAAGCTGGTATGACTCTTTTGGCCCATGCATCTGTTCCGTTTCGTTTTTGGAGTGATGCTTTCACCACTGCATGTTTTCTCATCAATCGTACTCCCACTCGTGTTTTGAATATGAAGACTCCCATTGAAGTTCTCCTTAATGAACAACCGGACTACACCTTTCTCAAGGTGTTTGGGTGTGCTTGCTGGCCCCATCTCCGTCCATATAACAAGCGTAAGCTCGAGTTTCGTTCCAAGAAGTGTGTTTTTCTTGGTTATAGCTCTCTTCATAAAGGATACAAATGTCTTCATGTGCCCACTAATCGTGTCTACATCTCTCG